GGAGAGAGAGGTGTGCTTGGTTTCAACGTAACTTTATTCTTTCATGAGTTATTTACAAGTTTCTCTTTGTTCACAGCCATTGACATGTCGAAGAGGTTAACACGTGAGGAGCGGATCGAAATTGTGTTGATATCTGGTGAACGCAGTAACCGGGTCATTGCAGCAGATTTCAATGCAAGACACCCTACGAGACCACCCATCTCCCATGCTACAGTTAGCAAACTGCTTGCTAAGTTTCGTGAAACTGGTTCAGTGTTGGATTTGCCAAAATGTGGACGCAAGAAAACTGTCACTAATGAAGAAACATCAGTGGCTGTCCTAGCTTCATTCAGCAAGAGCCCACAGCGTAGCACTCGCCGCATGTCACTGGAGAGTGGCATTAGTCGAACATCCCTTCGGCGGATATTAGCTACTCACAAATGGCACCCTTACAAACTCCAGCTATGCAGCATCTCAACAGCAACCACTGACCAAAGTGAATGATATGGAAATAAATTTTTTTTTTAAATAAATTTAAATAAATAAAAACAAATAAAGGGCAGCACGGTGGCACGGTGGTTAGCACTGTTGCCGCACAGCAAGAAGGTCCTGAGTTCAATTCCAACATCAGGCCGGGGTCTTTCTGTGTGGAGTTTGCATGTTCTCCCCGTGTTTGCGTGGGTTCTCTCCGGGTACTCCGGCTTCCTCCCACCGTCCAAAGACATGCAGCTTGTGGGGATAGGTTAATTGGATAATCCAAATTGTCACTAGGTGTGAATGTGCGAATGAATGTGAGTGCGAATGGTTGTTTGTCCCTGTGTGTTGGCCCTGCGACAGACTGGCGACCTGTCCAGGGTGTACCCCGCCTCTCGCCCTATGACAGCTGGGATAGGCTCCAGCGCCCCCTGCGACCCTGAAAAGGAGAAGCGGAAGCGAATGGATGGATGGATGGAAAACAAATAAATATAAAAGAAACAAAATTAAAATTAGAACACAAAACAAGAGCCTCAATACAATATACAATTAAACATGAGCATTTAAAAAAAAACTTTTAACAAATAAAGTTACTTTATAACCTTAGGTTTTATATATGTTGACAATACCCACTACACTTGTAAGGTTCATAGTTTGTTTAAGTTATACTTTTCTATGCTTTGTCAATTTTCAACAAATGACTCATTAAGTTAATTCAGGTTTCTGAGCTATCATGTTTACAGGCAGAATGACACTCAATCAAAAACAAACCTGATGTGATATTCAGTTTCATGATGAGGTGAAACTGAATATCAAAAGATAACTACAGCAGCTTGAGTAGTGTGGAGGGAAGAACTCACCGCTGCAGGGTTAAGGAAAGATGTTTGTGTAAACATTTTTCAATTTTAAAATAAGCTTTTCAGCTTCTACAAACATCTGGGAACCCAAATGCTGCAGTCTCACATGCATGATTCAGAATTTCAAAACACACAAAATATTTTTACAGCATCACAGGTCTAGAGACTTCAGCTGGCTCAGTTTAACTGTCACACTCCTAATACATGTACATGATACATGATTTGGAGTTGTCTTTTAGCCAAAGTCTGAATGTCAACAAATGTTTGCTGCTGTCTTGTGACAAAAGGGTTAACTGCAGGTAGTTCTGCATGTTGGATTTGGCATTTTTAAACCAGATGCAAGCTCGATGGGGATTTGTGTCTCTAGCTGGAAGTGAACCAGCAAACTTTCACTTTTCTCTCTTTAAAGAACTGTCTGTTTCCATTATCTAGTAATCACTGTGTGCAGATTGAGTCCCCAGCTGTCTCAGGGGGTGCTGCTGGAAGAGGTGAGCGATGCAGTGTAGTGTATGAAAAGAGGGAGGTCCTCCAGTATGTGGAAAAATATTAGTGGAGAACTGAAAGCACAAGAAAATCACAACTGAATGAGTCAGTTGTGATTTTTCAAATTTTTTTTTTCAAAGTTCCTTTCACTATTACTCTGAAATTGAGTGCAAAGCAGTATATATGGAAAACTAACACAGGAAACACCTGACGTGCTAAAGCCTCTTTAAAGATGTTTTACAGCATCTGGTCACCTTATAATGATCCTGCTGCTCAAGTTCACTTTTAACACATTAACCAGTGAAAAGGTTGTACAGCTTATCCTTTTGTGGACTGAGTAAAGAGGAAATGTATACTGTCTAAGACAGTGTCAAGTGACCATCGAGAAACGAGTTGCATTCCTTCTCTTTTCTTTTTCTCTTGTTCCTCATTCTCACTCCAGCACTTACAGGAACACTCCTATGACTGATTTGTTTTTTTTGCAGAAGAAGTAGGCAAGGAATTACTTAGCATTCTTTTATTCATCTGTTTTACCTGACTTAATCCTGTAATACAATGGTATGTTAATAAAATGTATGAATAACATTTGAAATTGGTCTTGTTTTAAATAATCCCAGTCAGGCTACACTCCTATATTTTATTAAGAAGTGTGGCCATCAAAAAAAACATTGGAGCACAGGTTTAATTTAACTCAACTTTTATAAAGACAGAAGTAGACACAAAAGTGAAAAACCATGGACATTAATTGTAATGATAATGTGGCAGAGCGTTTTCAAAACGCTGTGTTTTCCTTGACGAAAACGCCGTCTCAGTGTGGACGGGAGGCCAAAAAAATAACATAATGTCACAAACAAGGATGCAGTGGACTCAAGAGCAGACTCAATTGCTCGAACTATGTACAATTTATTGAAAGGAAAAGGAACTTAAACAAGACTGGGTCTAACAGAAATCATTCGCAGGAACTGAGGGAGGCCCGAGGGCGGAGAAACGGACGTAGAACACAGGGAGAACACGGGCGGGAACTTTTGAAAACACCGGCTATTAGGCGGGGAAGGGGTTGCCGTGGGAGCGTTCCAGGGATGGTTGAGAGTGTGGGGAGGCTGGTCCAGGTTCCAAGGTGTCCAGGGAGGTTGAAGTACGGGCTGGAGGGCAGGCTGAGGAGAAGATGAGTGTGTGGTCCTCGGGTTCTGGGCAGACGGGAGAACGGGACGGAAACAGAACCAGCACTGCTGGTGAGTACGACGGGTGATGAATCACGGGTGGTAGCAGGACGAACTGGCGAGGAGTAGCAGGCAGTGCTGGCTTAAAAACCCTCTAGATGGAGCCCCGGAAATTGGAAGCAGGTGATGAGCTGGCCAACTCCACCCCAGGGGACGGACAACAGGAACCTGGACCACACCCGACCAGACACTCCCACAGCATATGACAAATGCACATGATTATGGCAAATACTGAAAACACATGAGAACCTTTGATATTATAAAACATATTATGTGTAACTATAAAAGTAGACAAGAAATGATAGGGACCCCGGCTTATTAAAATGTAAAATTTATAACTGTAGCCTAAATAAAAGCAAAAGTTGAAAAAAGAATTACTTATAATACTATATTTTATTAAAATATCCAATTAACTGGGTATATGTCATCTGACGGCAGATGTTTCATGTTGGTTGAGAATTTATTTTCGTTATCTTGCTCCAGAATGCTTCTAGCAAGTCTTGAAACTTGACAGAATTACATCTGGGAACTTGGGAAGTCATTTATGAATCTCTAAATCCTGTGTGTCCAACTCCAGTCCTCGAGAGCTACTCTCCTGTAGCTTTTAGATGCATCCCTATTCCAATACAGTTGAATCAAATGATTGGATTACCTCTTCAGCATGCCATCAAGTTTGGCAAAGGCCTGGTAACAAGCCATTCATTTGATTCAGGTGTGTCAGAACAAGGATGCGTCTAAAAGCTGCAGGACAGTAGCTCTAGAGGACTGGAGTTGGACTTTCCTCCACCTGGAAGTTGTGTTTCTATGACCTCTTATCCTGTTGTCAACTCTGCAGTCTTGGAGTAACCAGTCTCTTTCTTCTGTAGTGTCTCTGCAATGCCTGAAAGTCTACAAGAGTAACTTGCTTGCATAACCATAACCATAACCTGGCAAAACATCTCTGACTTGCAAACCTGCTAGTCAACAGTTTTGATTAAAACAGTAGATGATAGTTAAGAAGGTTAAATAAGACTCCCAGTTTGATACTAAAAAGTAATAACTCCTAAAAAGGCACATTTTTGGGAAACAGTTCATTATGTATTCAGTGGAAAATTCCAAGACTTAACTGAGATTTTGTAATGTGTGAAAGACTAGTGCTTTTAATTACACACTATACAAAAAGCACAGGTTTTGAGGCTTCCTCTTATTTGGTGTGAGGCAGAGCCTGAGAGTGAGCGTCTCAAGATCAAGAGCTGCTCAGCCTCCCTAGTCACTTAGTTTCAATTCCTATAAGCGTATCCATTAATGCTGTCAAGAGCACCCACAACACGTAAATACTCATCAAAAAAAAGCCAACATCTCAACAAATTCACTCAAGTCCTGTACAGCCAGATGTGTTGTTATATTTTATCTTCTTTAGGTTGATGTGTTGTAAAGTTTCTAGGTGTCCAGAGCCTGTTCATTGAGCCTGAAAGTAAGAAAACTAGTGCATTAATTAAAATAATTCAATTAAAGTGTGATTTATATCCACAGAACATACTCACTCAGGAGCAGTCTTGTTTCTCAAGTCCACAACATCATAGGGGTGATGGTCCTGCTCTTGTGGTTGAAATGGCTGAATAGTGGAGTAGAGAGTCTCTGTTTTATTCTTGGACAAGCAGATTTCACTGTAGTCAGGTTCCTCCTCTGCCAGCGGAGGTGAGAAGCTTTCATACTTGAAATCAAAGTGTAAGTGATGCAAAACAGAACAAACATTTCAAATTAAGTGGTGAAAAAGAGGAGTGGTAGGATTAAATGTGGAAAAGACTGACCCTATACAGAAGCAAGATTATTAAATGTATTTTCTTTACCTTGAAGTTCTCCACTGTTTCATTTCCTGACCTCTTTTTTCTGGTCAGTGAAACAGATGAATATAGAAACAGGTGGGGCCAGGTTAGTGTGTGAACTTGAGATTGAATCTGGTTGATGTGAGAGACAAAACATTGATGTTCACCTGGTCAAAAAGCAGACAGTCAGAAGTATTAAAACCAGCAGAGCTGCAGAACCTCCTGCAGCTGCTGGTGTCCATGTTCCTGTGATACTTTGGACAGTGAGAGTCTTTGGAGCAGAGCTGATTTCTTTGTTGGTTTTCACAGCACAGGAGTAGCTTCCTGCATCCTCCCTGCTGACTGGGTCTAGGATCAGATGTTTGTTCTGGTTCTCTGTCGTGTTCAGATGTTGACTGTTCAAGTACCAAATGTAGTTTGTGTTGTCAGTCAGAGGACAGCTGGTACTGCAGGTCAGTGTGACTCTCTGACCCTCTGTCACTACTGCAGAAGGACTCATCTTCACTCTCAGCTCTGAAAGAGAAACATTGGTCAAAGAAATCTATTTTATAGCAAATCTCCTCTGTGGCTTATGCATTAAATGTGAATTGTGAATAAGAGCAAAATGATAAATGAAGTGGTTCTTATATAACACTTTTCTACTCTATTTTGAGCACTCAAAGTGCTTTACACAACTTGTGCATTCACCCATTCACACTTTTTTTCTGCCATTTCTCAGTGCTTCATAACTAACATCCACATATATTCATACTCTGATGGATGCATTGGAGAGCAACATGGGTTTAGCATCTTGCCCAAGGATACTTGGCATGCAGACTGGAGCAGACTAGGAGTGAACCACCAACCTTCCAGTTAGTTGGTGACCTGTTACAGCCACCCTGTAACATATGATACATTACACTGTATTATTATTATTATTTTTAACTAAAATGAAAACAAAATGCAGAAGCATGTGTGTTAAAAACTAGCAACATTTTATGATTATAGTATAGTAGCAGGTAGTAGCAGTAACATCTATAATAATTGTACAGAAATAAAGCTGACTACTTCATGGATTTCCCCTATCGCGAGTTAGTGCCTGCCTTTTGCTTAGTATTTTTTTTGAATAAATAGTGGCACAGATATGCCATGTGTTGTTGTTTATCTCAGGTTACATTGGAATGAACATTATGCACAAGTTTCTATGGTCTCACATCTGTCCACTTCCAGGTGCTACCAGCTAAATCTAAGCTTTATCACTCCCACTCTCCCACACTGTCAAACTGTGCCATCACTGGTCTTGTCCAGTCAACTTCTCCAGGCCAATCAGCATTCATGCTTCATACATTAAATTTCATTGCACATCTGTCATTCTCCTTTGCAAATGCCTTTGCATAACCCACCTCCCCTGCATCTCTGACACTCAAGCACCCAAGCTCCATTCGAGCCACCTTCTTCACCTCTACAATCAGAGTCTAGGCTCTGATACAGACTGAGCAGCATTATTCTGAAAATTTTCACAATTTGTACATGCAGTTTTTTGCAGGTTAGTGAACCTCTGCCCATTTTTACATGTAAGAAACTCTACATGCTCTTTTTATTTCTTATTACAGACCTGTTGCCAATGAAACTAATTAGCTGCAAAACTTCCTCCAATTTGCTTTACTCTTGCCCCGTCCCAACATTTTTGAGAAACATTTCTGGCATCAAATTCATAAGAAAAATATATTCTTATATGTTTGATTTGTTTTCTGTTTTATATTGTGTGATTTTTACAAATCACTGCATTGTGTTTTTATTTTGAATTAATTCAGATTTTATAATAAAGAATAATATAGCAGAAACATTTTTGCCTGTTGCTCTATTTTCACCTGTAAAGCAGGACTGGGGGTAGGCGGAGGTTTACCCTGGTGCAGGTGTGCCGCGGTCAGTTGATGAATCCGCGAGTTTCTCTGTGAGTTTCCCATTATGTCGTTGCGCACTCGGTGCTTGCTTGGAAGTTTAGGGGTTTTTTTCGCTGTAAAAAGTTTTCTTCCCACGCACAGCGGACGCTAATGTTTTTGTCACTTTTTATGGAATCAAACTCAAAGTAAGGTCAGTACTTCCACGCTTTAAACGCTGCACGCTCATATTCTCTCCCACAATCGATATGTGATCCATTGTTGATCTGCACACAGCTGTTGTCACCAACGGCGCACTCGCTTATGTCACTGTCGTGAGACATTCTCGCAAAAAAATCACGGTTTTAGTAACGCAGCGTTCCTACGGGAAAGTAACGGTAATCTAATTACCGATTTTGCAATAGTAATCCCTTACTTTACGCGTTACTTGAAAAAGTAATCAGATTACAGTAACGCGTACTGCCCATCTCTGCTTTTAATGATGTAAGTTTATTTGTGATAGAATGCTGCATGATGATCTTTTCATTGCTCAGAACTGATTGTTCTTTATGAAACGTGTTCTGATATTTGTATCTGAATCTTTCCACAGCGATAGTAAGAAGTTGAACAAGCAGTTCTGACCTTGTGCACACACACACACAATCACATATGCACATGCTCATGTCACTGAACGAATGTATTAATTCCTGCTGTATAAATAAAGAAAGCAGACGGTGACAGAGTGCAAGTCCGTGAGTGTCTCTTACGTGTAGGAGCGCTCTGTCACTTGTCCTCGCGAGTAAAGACAACTGCAGTGTTTGTGTTTTCTAACTCAAGTGTCTCAGCTGAAGAATTGCGGGTGATTTTAAGAAATCCCTTGTCAACAGGAAATGCAGAGTTTCTACCTCAGGTAGTGTTTAGAAATAAAATTAAGTCAGCATTAACATAGCATAAACATTTTATGAGTGGGTGAGAAGGTGGTTAGCACTGTTGCCTCACACCTGGTTCAAATCCAGGCTTCAGTCTCTCTGCATGTTGGAGCTGTGTCTGTGTGCGCTCTCTCTGAGTACTCTATCTCACAAAGACATGGGTTTGGCCAACTGATGAAATTAACCATAGGCATTATGTATTATGCCTTAATCAAGATATGTCAGAAGTACAATATTTTCCTTTTTTGCACTTAAAACATCACTGTAGTATGGGTAATGCATATATAGTGCAAAATTCACAAATACACAACAGTGGCAGTAAAGATTAGATGTTTATAGTTTTACTGCTGTTTACATTCACTGCCACTATCTTGGATGGGACCTTGAAACTTGAAAATGGATATGCACAAGAAATGAATGGCTCGAGAAATCTGATGATTGCATCATGCATTTGTGCGATGACTTACATTACATATGTAAGACACAGTTGAATGATGGCTCTTCATATTCTTTTGTAACACAAAATGTACATATTAAGAGCTAGTAGGTTTGAAAAAAATAATATTTTTACTCTTGCTTACTGACAAACCATAATTACCTGTGACAGTCAGAGTAACTCCAGGAAAATCAGACTGTTTCACTTCTTCATTTTCTGTTGTGATGGTGAACCTGTATTCTGCTGAGTCATCTCTCTTCAGCTTCTTTAATCTGAGGATGTGTTGGTTCTTCATGCTGTCATCATACTCCACATGATCTGCATCCTCTGTCAGGTTCCTCCTGATGTCCTCCTCAGCATTTCTCTTGACTTTATACCAACATTTAGACTGTATCTGCTCGTAGTCAGGATGTGAGTATTTACTGGAGATGTTGACTGAAGATCCTTCCAGAGCACAGATTCTGCTGTGGACATAATTCAAACTCCAGCAGGAATCATCATTAACACCTGAAATATCGATAAGACACAGATATTTTAACTGAATTTGTCAAATCAGTTTATTTATATTATATATTTAAACATAACAGATGTTGTGGGTCGGCTAACAACTGACAACAAAGTACAACGCAACAACTAAAAAGTACTTTAAATTATTGTAATAATTAGTGATAAAAATACAAAATCAACTAAATAATTTATAAGAATAAAATAATAACATTAAAAATATATAAATCTGGGAAGGAAATACATTCAGGAAAATGACAGACTGAGTTACTCTTGGCTGAGACTGAAAAAGCTGAGGAGAAGTCAGGAGATGAATACTGTTAGTATCATAGATGAGCAGATCTGAAGAGCGAGATGAGTCCAGAGTTTTGGATCTGCAGCTGAGAATTGTGATGTGATCACCAACATTTACAAAATAATTTATCACTCATTAATGATCAAGAAACTGACCTAGTTTCAGTCATTGTGGAAATGTACAGTTTATGAGGTTGGGGAAAACTGCAGTGAGCTGAGATTCAAGAAGTCACTTAGATGAATGACGAAACGTTTCTCCCACTGAAAATGCTATGTCCAGATGAACAGAAGGAACCGTTTTGGATTTACTAGTGTGATGATTAATAGACTTAGTATTAATTGCAAGAAGGGGTGATAATGTTTTGAGAAACAAAAGCTTTAGTTCTTTGAAAGTTGAGAGACAATAAGTTTACTCACAGATGTCAGCAGAGCGCACATCCTCAAGACCTTTTACAGCACAAGACAAACTGTCTGGATGAGAGATGGAAACTAGAATCTGTTTTCCCTCCTGCACTGTAGGCTTTCTGTCTCATACCACACAAAGGAAATCAGAGGCTCAGTCAGAAAACAGCTGCTGTTACAGGTCAGTCTGATGTGACCTCTGTGTTCAGCAGGAGTCCTCTGGACATGAATTTCTGTTGGGAGATGATGAACACATTTTCCACCAGTTCATCTCTGTCATGTCAAATAAATTAACAAATAAAAATGAAGTTTCAAAGTGCAGTTTGTCCAGAACTTCACCTCTGGGATATGTGATGGAGCAGGACTCGTCCACTGATGTCTGCTGAGAAGAACACATTCTCCCTTTAGCATAGGTCACACTGAAGCAGGTCTCTGTGATGGAACCTGAGAAAAACCAACAACTTTCAGTAAATTCATTAGAGTCTGAAGAGTAAAGTGTTTGTGTTTAACATCTCATAACATGATGAGGAGGTGTCCATCATGACTCACCCACAGAGACTTGAGGGGCTCTGAGATGCTCGTAGCCTTTGACAGCACAGGAGTATGTGGCTGCTTCCTCACTGCTGAGCAGCTCTTGGTACCAGGGAGACCAGTCCTCATAGAGAAACTCTCTGTTCTTGTACCAGATGTAGGCTGCAGGCTTTTCAGTCAGAGGACAGCTGCTGCTGCACATCAGTGTTACTGTCTGTCTCTCTGTGGCAGGAATCACCTTTACCTGCAGCTCTGAGAGGTCACATGATCAACATGAATACACTGATCATTCATAAACTCATTCATTTGTGATGCATTTGTAAAAAGAACTGTACCTGTAACTTGGAGATGAATTCCACTTTGCTGACACTTTGATCTGTCAGCAGTTTTAATGCAGCAATAAAAATTTGCATCTCTCTCTGTCAGATTATTGATTGTTAGAGTGAAATTACTCTCTGCTGACATGCTATACTTTACATGTGTTTCCTCTACTGAGAACATTATCTTGGAGACAGTATCGTGTCCAGTGTACCAGCTATTTCTTGCAGTGGGATGTTGATGTGAGCAGGGCAGATTCACTGATGAACCTTTCAAGGCACAGATGCTGTTTGTTTGTCCCTGAACACCTTTAACACAACATTTGAATAACAACCATGGTGAACATTTATACTTTCTTTTCTGTGCTAATATGTGATGACAGCATGTTACTGTGAAGGATCACAATCTGGTGCTTTGATACACTTCAGAGTTCAGAACTTCAAAACAAGAAAAAATCATGTTAACAGTAAATCTCTTAAGTGAGTTTGTTTAGGAAATTCACTTTAATTTAACTTCTTAGAAAAACTTGTAACTTTCTGCATCTTTTTTCTAGATTCCAGAAACATCATCACAGTCATCATGAGGAGGAGAAACAAATTATTCCTACCTGACAGACACAGAATGAAACCCATGAACAAACATCCAGCTTCTGCCAACAACATGGCTGCTGTAGATTTTCTCTTCTAATCAAAAAGTTGATTGTGTGAATATAATGTAGTCCTTGCTATGACTTCTGTTAATATCAAAATTTATAAAATATCAGAAATGTGAATAAATGTTCAAATTCATGACCTGTCTAAGAGGAAAAACTGAATACCGAGCTGATTTCAGCGTGTCTGCAGGACAAACACGTTTTAACACGACCAAAGTCACTTCCTCCTTTATGATAATTTTTTTTTTCACAACAGAGCCCTCTAGTGAAGAATGCATGTTTGCAGCAGCTATTGGACTCTTACTTTTGAATCACCTTTACCTTCAGCTCTGAGAGGATATGCATTCATCGGTGTGATAATCATAAAATAATCACTATTTACAAGCATCATACTGAAACAATGAGTTTAACTCTCCTGTCCCAGCAGTGTTCTTGGTTGTTTCTATACTTGTTGCAGTAGTAAATGTTTGTCACATCCTTGATCACCTGTGTAGGAAAGCCATCAGACACGCCCACGACCCTGGTTTCGTCTGTAGAGAACATACTTGTTGCCCTGCTTGTGCATAGTGTACCATTTCCAGTTGGACTTTGCTTTATCTGACCTTTTAATCCATAGATGTTTTAGATGTTTTTTGTGTGTCCAGTCATCCCTTTACCAGAAACTTTCATTAGCAGACATCAAAGTTTTTAAATGAAACAAAGAAGTGAACCTTAAAGAACATGTATGCTTTCCTGCTTACATGTTCCAAAAGCATGGCTCTCCTCAACCTTCAGCTTTTATTCAGAAACATTGATGGTACAGCTGTTTTTGTATGCCTGATCACTGTCATGACAACAAGGTAGGTTGTTGTTTTGTAGGTGATGACAGATGGCATTAAGTTATTATATAAAAATGTCTTTCCTTCTTTAGAAGGAATTCATCTTAGTAAAAGAAGAAGAAGACATAGCGACCATGGCTCAGGGGGTTGGGAAGCGTATCTGTAACCGGAAGGTTGCCGGTTCGATCCCCGGGCTCTCTGTCCTGGTCGTTGTGTCCTTGGGCAAGACACTTTACCCTACCGCCTACTGGTGTTGGCCAGAGGGGCCGATGGCGCGATATGGCAGCCTCGCTTCTGTCAGTCTGCCCCAGGGCAGCTGTGGCTACAACCGTAGCTGCCTCCACCAGTGTGTGAATGTGAGAGTGAATGAATAGTGGCATTGTAAAGCGCTTTGGGTGCCTTGAAAAGCGCTATATAAATCCAATCCATTATTATTAAGAAAAGAATTGTGGTACTGTATGAGGAGGACAGCAGTGGGACAGAGGAGGGTGAGACTGCTGGAGGACGTATCAGAACAGTAAAACAGAGGTGAGGTGTGTGGTTGGGGTGAGAGATGGATTCAAACACAGATACACACACACACTGTTGTGCCTGCTAACTTACTGCATCACGGTATGGTACGGCAGCTGCACTGAGGTGGATAGACCGAGGCTACAGAGTGTAGTCATGACAGCACAAAAGATCATCGGCTGCCCTCTCCCCTCCCTGATGGACATTTATTCCTCTTGCTGCCTCAACAGAGCAGCAAACATCGTCAAGGACGGCTCCCACCCTGGTTTCAACATGTTCAGCCTGCTTCCCTAAAGAACTGTGCAGGGCGTCTAGCAAAGTTTTGCCAGGGGGCCAGGTAGGGCATTAACAGGGAAAGGGGGGCACAAAAACATACTTTTCTTTCTAATTGTCATGTCTAGCTTTTAATAAATAATTATCTGAATCTTACAACCAAAGTTTTCATCTGATGTAAAATGTATAGAAATACATTATTGTATATAGAACTATTAAGTCAAATTTATAACATAGAAAGCTTAGTACTTTTTCCTTTGGAAACCATCTGTGCAGTCTGCAATTTTGTTGAAGAAAGATGTTGAATCTATTTAATTATTGTAGAAAAATTATTGATTTCTGTACATTTTCTTATGCGTGCATTAAATTAAAATTGACTACGTCAATTAAGCATTATGGTAAATGGTAAATGGCCTGCATTTGTATAGCGCTTTTCTAGTCCATAGGACCCCAAAGCGCTTTACACTACATTCAGTCATTCACCCATTCACACACACATTCACACACTGGCGATAGCAAGCTACATTGTAGCCACAGCTGCCCTGGGGCGCACTGACAGAGGCGAGGCTGCCGGACACTGGCGCCACCGGGCCCTCTGACCACCACCAGTAGGCAAACACGGGGTTAGTATCTTGCCCAAGGATATTTGGCATGCAGTCAGGAGGCAGCCTAGGATCGAACCACCAACCTTCTGATTAGTGGCTGACCTGCTCTGCCACCTGAGCTACAGCCACATCTATGCATCTCGCTCACACTCCATGAAGGAGCGTGAGTGAGAAACACAAATCCAATGCTCACCCTGCAAAGCCATCTCATGCAACAACGCCATCTAAGAACTGTTTTAGATGTGGTTCAAACAGTCATTTAGCCAACCTTCGTCAGTGTCCTGCTGCCAAAGCTACATGTAAAATGTGTCATAAAATTGGACATTTTGCTCGTGTCTGCTGCTCATCCAAGACAAAAGATGTATGGGAAATCCATTTACCACAACTCACAGTCCTCTACTTAACAGATCCTTCGCATGCATCAAAAGGATTGCAATGCAGCATAAATGTGAGAACACCTATCTCATCAGCTAAGGACATTGAACTGATTGTGTACACAGGTTCTGCAGTTTCTATCTTGCCTAACCACATCTACAAAGAGCACTTCAGCGATACACCACTACAACCACCTGACCTTCAACTGGTTACATACACAAAGAAAACAATTATTGTTAGGCTGCCTGCAAGTCACAGTGAGCAGAGGAAATGCATCCGCCTCAGCTGTTTTCTTTGTTGTAAAAAAAGGAACTCCTCTTCTTGGAAGAGATCTGATGGAAGCACTGAATGTCAGCATTGCAGGCAATACTGTTCTACCTCCATGTACTGATCGTACTGCTTTTGTGATGTTTACAAACCCATCACCTGCTCCTTGCATCCCTGCTGCCCCGTTTACTCAAAGCTGGTGTCATTGAACGGATTGATGCATCACCATGGGTATCCCCAACTGTTGTGACAGGACAGAAAACTGGTGGAATAAGGCTGTGTGCAGACCTCCGTGAACCAAACAAAGCTGTGATCACTGACCACTGCTGCCCCTGCATGAAGACAGCAGAGATTTTACAGCATTCATTACACATGATGGACTCTTCAGATTCTGTAGAGTACCTTATGGACTGGCCTCTGCCCCCTCAGCTTTTCAGAAAATGATGGCTGAAATCCTTAAAGACCTCCCAGGTGTCCAAAACTACCTGGATGACCTTACTGTCTACAGTAAAAGTGCAGCTGAGCATGACCAAAACCTTAGCACTGTCCTGCAGAAGCTCAAAGATGCTGGACTTGTGCTTAACGAAAACAAATGCCATTTTAGGAAGACATCGCTACGCTTCCTAGGTCATGTTGTCACTGCTGATGGCATTCTTCCTGATGAGGAGCATATTGATGTTGTTTTAAGAGCCCCTCCCCCATCTGATGCTGTTGCTTTGAAATCCTTCCTGGGCTTGGTGTCATGGTACTCCAAGTTCTTGCCAAACTTTGCAACTGTTGTAGCCCCTATGTGTGCCTGTGCTAACAACAAGAACACCTTCACATGGACTTCAGATGCACAAGAGAGCTTTGAAGAAG